TCGCAATTTAGCTGTTTCATCTAGAAGGTTTCGGCTCCTGAAGCAATTCCATTTCCGGTGTCTGGGGAATCCGAGGCGGTAAGGAAGAAGATTCTCAGAGGAATCTACTTCTTTGATTTAGTAAGTCATTATTGAGCTGCTGCCCACAGGCTGCCCACCAGCTGTCCATGGTCCTGACAGGGAGGGGTGACTGGCTCCTGCCACCGTGTTGGTGCTGTTAGGGTTTCCTTCCAACTGGCTAATTCCCTGGGCTTGTTTCCGAACAGCCTCAGGAGCAAAGCAAGATAAGGGAGCGTCCTGATGAGCTTCAGAATCCATCTCCAGACAAAGAGGAAGGAGGGCCCAGGATGTGATGGAAATGGAAGGTCGTGTCCGTCTACCATTCCCAAAAGGAATCACCTCATGGCCATGGGCCAGTTCAGAAGAAGGTGAGCGGGATGAGGCTGGGAAGTTTTGAGGGAGAGAAACAACCACACAGCACTTCTCTCAGCTGTATGTTATTCCAGTTGATCTGAGTGGCTCTGTTCCCCACCCCCTTTTTATTTTTAAGTGATCACTATTATATTATCATTGTCTTTTTTCTCCCTGTTGAGTTTCATGGTGTGTTATAAGGGGTTTTCCTCACGGAAGGAACAAGACATAGATTCTCTGAACGTTTTCCTCCTGCAAGCTTGCAAACACAATGATCCCCTTTCTGGCCAGATTGACTCCTCACAGTGAAGAAGAGAACTGGAGAATCATCCAGGAAATGTAAAAAGTGGGCTTTCACCCCCACAGATAAAATTTAAGGATTTCTCACTTTTGTATCTTTTTTCTCTTAAGCATTAAAAAAAGCATGCTCAGAACCATGATCTCATTGAAATCCCACACCAGCCCTGGGAGGGGGGAAGGATACGAAAGACCCTTCCCATTTTATAGGTGGGAAGACTGAGGCCCAGAGTGGTTAAGTAAGTTTGTTCAAGATCACAGAGCAACCCCTTCAGAGCTGGGTCTGAACTTGGACCTTCTGTTCCCTCATCCGGGCCTGACCACTATATCTTTCCTTCAGGTGGCAGGTGGGCGTCTGCTCATTTCCTAGGCAGGAGTCTGGCCCATAGATACAGACTGGATACCCAGATGAGAGCAGGAGATGAGGGTCAGGGACCTCCATACTGATGGTAGTTACTGGGTCCTCTTATCTGGACGGCTTGGCTAGGCAGGGAAAGAGAGACAGAGGGGGAGAGCTTAGAGATCCTCGGACACCTGTCCAGACTGGACCCAGTTCATTCACAGAATCCATCTCTTTCTCTTTCTCTGTCTTGGTCCCTCTGTTTCTGTCCATGGTTTTCTCCCTTTCTGTAGTTCTGTGGTATGTTGTGCGCTCTCTCTCTCTCTCTCTCACAGACACACACACACACACACCCTTATCTGACAGTTTTTCTCTTCTTTCCTAAGTGATATCAGGGAGATAAAGGCACCTCTTACTCTCCAAATAAGTGGAAGCTCTTGATCTGGAAGGTGTTAAATTTTCCACTACCTTGTTCATTTTCAAGGTAAGTTTCATGTCTCTCTTCCCTCCATTTATTACCATAATTGGGGCATTTTCCTGATTCCTTAATTCAGCAGCTTGATTTTAGAAATATTCATTCCATTGTCCCTTCCAGGCCTCATCTCCCACAATTCTCCCCCTTTATTCATTTTGCACCTAGTTCCTATAATATCATCCCTTCATTCAGTGCAAATCAAAATAGGATGGTTATTTTTTTTTTAAATCCTTGTCCTTAGAATTGATATCCTTCAGGAAAAAATTCTTAATGATTTGAATTAACTTTGGCCGTTTTAAATCTGTTTGCAACAGGACTGTTGCTCTAGTCAAAAAAGACTGTCTGCAAACCCTCTCCTCACCATTCAGGGACAGAAAAATAATAAATCAAGACAAAATCATTACACAAATCCTGTGTTTCACGGCTTTGTTCCTCAAGTTTCCTATCAAATATTAGCAACTTGCCTCAAGGTGAAAGAGAGGAAAGATGAGATCTTAGCTGGAAACAGCAGGAGGTCACCAAGCAGATTGCTTTATAGACTCCTAGATTCAGGGCACCCCCATCCTACTCAGAGCCACTGATGGGATGCTGCTTAGGAATTAGTCCTGGGTTCAAATCCCAGGGCTGCCACTTTCTAGCTGAGTGACTGGGCATGTTAATTTCATCTCTCTAAGCTTTGTGTTCTTCTTCCTAACCCTTGGGGCTGTTGGGAAGGTTTGTAAAGGTAGTGGTCATTGTCCATTACCAGGGACAGTATCAGGCACTGGGGAGTGAGGTGCCAGTGCATGTTAAGGACCGTCAGACAGGATTCTCCTTCTGCCCTTACTACAGTCCTACAACAGCAGGTGTGACAATGATTGCACTGTACAACTTCAGACTAGAGAGGTGCAGTGATTTGCCCAAGGTCATACCACTCATGTGCAGCATCCAGAACTGACTCTGAGGTCTGTGTTCTGCATCATGCATAGAGATATGTCAGAACTGAGCCCTTCCCCTAGTAGGTACTTAGATAACTTTTGTTCCCACCCTTCTCCTAGAGAGGACACCATGAGGAGGAGGGATCAGCCTCAGGCTGTGGCATAACTCTGTGCTGCTTCTCCAGAGACCTCTGGAATAAGGCTGCTTTAATTAGGAGAATGGTGCTCTGTGGGGCCAAAGTAAAGAGACAATAAAGCAACTCCCAGAGCAGACAAGCACATGGACTCAAGCCAGGCACTTTGTCCTGACGCTGGGGAGATGAACGGCCTATAAAGTGGTGCAGCAACTCTTAGGTTTAGCCTGCGGCTTCTGGAGGGCATTCAACCCACCGTGTTAGAGTCACTGATTGCAGAGGGGGTCAAACCTGCCTCCCAACATCCAGCCCACTCAGCTGTGATTGCGGAAGCCTCATCTGGTCAGGACTGGAAATCTTTACTCTTGGAGTGGGGTGAGGAAACCCACTGCCCTCAGACCTCAGGTACCCAGGAGGAATTCCAAGGGCTTCCATGCCTGTTACGTTGTAACTACTTCTTGTTTCTTAAACGTATTGGTCTCAGGACTGTTTATACTCTTAAAAATAATTGAAGACCCCCCAAAAAGCTTTGTGTATATGAGTTGTATCAATAAAAATTATATTAAAAGTTAAAATCAGAAACCCTTGTAAAACATTTATTAAATTACAAATAACAGTAATAAACCCATTACAAGTTAATAAATGTAACATATTCTACTGAAGAGTAACTATTTTTGCATAACCAAAAGAAATTCTGAAAGGAGTGGCACTGATGATTGTGATGGTGGAGATGGTGATGGTGATGATCATGGTGATGATGGTGATAATGATGGTGGTGATAATGATGGTGGTGATGATGATGATGGTGACAGTGATGGTGGTAATGATAATGATGATGATGGTGATGATGGTGATAGTCATGGTGACGGTGATGGTGATGATGTGATAGTGATGGTAATAGTGATGATGATGATGTGTGGTGATTGATCATAATGGTGATGATGATGGTGGTGATGGTGATAATGATGGTAACAGTGATGGTAGTAGTGATGATGATGACGGTGATGGTGATGATGATGGTGGTGATGGTGTTGATGATGGTGGCAATGATGATGATGATGGTTATGATGATGGTAATGATGAATATGTGCACATTCCAGATCCTGTTCTACCATCACACTGAATCTTCACAGTAGCTCCATGAGGTAATTCTATTCATTTCATTTTACCACTGGGACACAGGTTGAGTAGCTCACCCAAGGGCAGAGCCTGGGTTCAATCCCAGACAGTCAAACTTCCAGAACTGTGTTCTTGGCCATGACAATGTGTTACAGTCCCTGGTACAGATAAATAGTCTCAGGCAGAGAATCATGTCAGCCAAGGTGGTAAATCTCTGGAGTTGAACTTAGCAACTAAAAATACTGAGTGCATGCTAAATAGGCAAGTCTGGGTTTATTCAGTGTTGTGTTTGTTAAATATTTGATCTGGGAGAATTAAATGGCATCTTCTCTCTAGAGAACTGAAGCTGATGAGCCCAGAAATAAAGTTGATGAAAATAGCCCTAATTGTAATCATACTCAAATATGTACAGTTTACAAAACCCATCCATATATGTTAGTTTATTCAATCCTCTATTTAAATGATGCTCACCAGTCCTCCCTCTGCCCTCCACATTTTGTCCCCACAGCTGCATCCTTGAACCAGACTTCATGATCACTGGTCTACACTTTTGCTGCAGCTCCCCAAACCCCTTTTCCCTGTCTATCCACCTGTCCATGCCACTTGAATGCTGCCTCCAGAGACTGTCTTCACTAATAATAATGACAGTCATATTAACTGAGCACTTACCATGTGCCAGACACCCCGTTGAATGTCAAGCATGGATTACATCATCTGCTCTTCTCCATAACTCTAGGTTGTATATTTTTATTACCATCTTCCCCATTTTACGGATGAAGACAGCAAAACTTAAAGAAGCTGCATAATTTACCCAAGAATACACAACTCAGAGACACAGATATGGGATTTGAATGCAGCAGGCTGGTTCCTTAGCTTCCAAACCATTGAACAACCTGATTCCCATCAGCAATCCAGCCTGATCAGTCACTGTTTTCCCTGGACTCCTGTGGGTCCTTGCTGCTCATTTGTCACAGACACTTCAACATGGCATCCATATCCTTTAAAATTGGTTCCTGACTCATCTCCTAGACTCTGCTTCCTACCTTATCTTATTCCCATTCACCCCACTCTCCAGCCACACCGAATTCTCCAATTCACGTCATCGCAGTAACACAGTTTGGCATGTGCTGTTCCTCCCCTGATCACAGTGACTCTCCAGTCAAATTCCCATGCAGACTTGAAGACCCAGCCCCGAAGTCCTGTCCATCCTAAAGCCATGGGTGGTTTTTTGCTTCCTGCTTTGGTCACTGCCAAGGTACTCCTTTCCTACTTGAATTTAACCTTGTTACATTGTGTTGTTTAAGGCACTGGAGGAGAACATGGACTATGGACTCAGAACTTCCAGGTCCATATCCAGCTTCTACTACTACTAACTGTGTGTGACCATGCTCAGGTGCTTTTGCCTTTTTGACCATTGGCATCCCCACTTACAGAATGGCTCTGATGACAGGATCACCTGCTCTCACAGGGCTTTTCTAATGATGCAGGGACTTTCTTACTAGAGAAGAGAGGAAAGAGGTTGTCCCAGTTCACCTGGTCACTGATCAACCTTCTCCTCCCAGGTGTAGCTTGCATCTAAGGCTGCTGCTGTGTTTGCTTGAGAGCTAGAAGGGGCTCAGGTGTCTATAAGAGTTTTCTGGCAAGGGCATAGACTGTGTAGGTTTTGTCTGAAAGGAGACATAAGCGCCAAAGACAGGGTCAAAGGGCCATAAGAAACAAGTTTCTCAGGGACCTGGCAGGTCCCTCTGTTTCAGGACAGAGGTCTAATATCATAGAGCATGTGCAGGGGCTGGGATGGGATCTTCTCCAGCCAGTCCATGCCCCACCTGGGAGTCTGTGGAGAGGTCACAAGACAACTGTGAAACTCACTGACACAGCACCTGGGACAGAACAAGTGCTTTATAAATGTTACCTATTTTTAATCCCAGGAACAGTACAGACCTGTTCTTTACCTTCTGCTTGAGGCATCTCCCCATGGTCTTGCTGGGTTGAGAACTGGGGTCATCTCCCTAGCCACAAAAAGAACAGTTTGCTGAGGCAAAGGGTCCTCCTGCGCATTTGAAATGACTGACGAGAAACGTGTGTGCACGCATGTGCACCTGAACCCCATCTAGCGAACACCCCTCTGCTGCATGCACACACTCACATACACACATGCACACACAGGCATACATCCTGGGGGTTAGCTGGTTCTCCCTCCATCTTCTTCACAGCTGCATCTCCTCCATCCTCTCTGCCTCGCCTCTCTGTTCTAACTCATGCCAGTTGCCTCAGAAAAATTTCACATCCTTTCCACACCCACCACCACATTTCTAGCTGACAGTTTCCTTTCCATCCATTTCTGAGCCTCCCACTGTCCCATCCCAGTGCCAGGGACTTTCAGAAGCCCCAGTCTTCTTTAATGGAGGGGAGATGTTGCCGCCTCCAGCCAGGTAGAGAGAGCTACCACCGGGTAGCAACACCATCTCTTACTGGCATGATGTTCTCAGTTGGGGTGAGAGCAAAACCTTAGCTGTGTTTTCTGCTGAGGGCTGAAGACCCATGTCACCCAGGGCTCTGGATCTTGCACATGTGGGCTCCTTTGCCTAGAGCTGTCATTCCTCTACCTCCTCTTCCCTTTTCTAACTCCTCCTCCAACTTCAAGACTCTTCCTAGACATTTGCACCTCCAGGAAGCCTTCTCTGATCCCCGGACTGAATTAGGTGTCTCCTCTGGACTCTGCTTCCCCCAATAGAGCACTCAATATGCTGAATCATGATTGCCCCATTATTTCCATGACCTGGCACATAGGAGCCCCTCAACCTGTTGTTGTTTAGATGAATGCTGAAAAGATTGCTCTCTGCCCCCAGTGAAGTATGATTGTGTCATTCTGGATGATTTTCCAGAGAGCCTCCCCAACCTACTCCTTTTCTCAGGAACAGCCATACCAGGTTGCTGTCCAGCTTGGAGTTTTCCAGGTCACAATATATGGGTCCGCACTACAGTGATGGCAGAGGTATCTGAGAATCGAGTTACACTTTCTCTACCCAACATGATCCCAAGCTGCCCTAGTAGTCTCAAGCTCCTGTAGGCTGAGCCTGAGCTCACATAGCCGAGAGCTGTCTGTTGACTCCATGGGTGAATTCTCAGTGAGCTTAGGCAGGGACAGGGTGAGGGCCCAGTGGGGGTCTGTTACTCTTCTCTCTTTCCAGATATCGAAGTGTTTTCCTCCTAACATGGAATGGGCTACTGGGTCCTTCCCTCCCCTGGACTGATTATAATCAGGGAAAGGGGACCCATGGTGTTCTCTCTTCTAGGGACACAAGGAAGCTGTCCTATTATGGTTTGCCTCTTATAAACTCCTTTGGGGCACCTGCCATCAAAGACCATGGGAGTTTGGGTCCTAGGGGGATAATGTTCTGTTGCCCAAACATACATGGTTTCTGCCCATCATTATCCAAACATTGCCTTTTGTAGGGAACTTTGATGAGAGATTTTTTTTTTAACCCAACAGCCATGAAAGAGCTTGGATGAAAGAGCAGCTTGTATTCTCCAAAAATAGATATATGTGTGTGTGTCCATAGAACAAAAATATATGTGTTCCCATGAGCTCTTCTTATACTGTGACTGACACTTTGCACTTTGAAGGGGGTCTATGTCCACTCCTTTAAACCTTAGCAGGGGCAGGTGGTTGCTTCAATCAGTAGAGGGAAGTGGAAGACATGCAAAGGGACCTCCAGGGTGAAATCATGAAAAGGATACCAAGGATCTCTCCCTGAGCTCTCAGCTCTTTCCCTCTCCTCTTTGCTGCTGCTGCTGCTGCTGCTCCTCCTCCTCTTCCTTCTCCCCCTCCCCCTCCTCCTCCTCCTCCTCCTCCTCCTCCTCCTCCTCCTCCTCCTCCTCCTTCTTCTTCTTCTTCTTCTTCTTCTTTTCTTCTCCTTCTCCTTCTCCTTCTTCTCCCTCTTCTTGTTCCTCACTTCTCTCTCCCTCCATCTCTCTTCACTGTGGAATCCAGCCATCATGCTCTGAGGAAGCCCAAACCAGCCAATGCTGAGAGACCACATAGAGAGAAACCATTCAGACAAGAGCAGAAGCTGCAACCTATCATCTGCATCAACAGATTGGTGAGTAATGAATGAATGAGATTGCAGATGGGTGCAGCCCCAACCTTCAAGTCCAGCTGAGCCCCCAGGCACCATAAAGCAAAGACAGGCAAGTCCTGCTGTGCCCTGGTCTGAATTCCCAACCCCCCCAGAATCCATGAGCTTACACACCATTGCTTTACATCGCTGAGTTCTGGGAGAATTTGCTTTGCAGCCACAACAACTCAAACAAGACTGGAACAAAAATATGTGGAGGCTCAAAGAAATTGCAGGTGGACAGGATTTGGTCTTGGAGGCCATCAACCTCACATTTCTTTCTAAGCAAACACTTTAAAATCAAAACACATCAACAACATGGGAATATCAAAAGTGACCACCTGGAAGGATTATGACTAATCACCCCATCTTGTAGATGAGGAAACAGAGCCCAGAGAGACTGCCCATGAAATGATCAAGCAGAGACCCACATCCAAGTCCATAAAACAGCTGGCAAATGATCCTTGTAACGTAAGGATTTATCAGGTACCTCTCATGTATCAGGAGCTTCATCTACATTGCTACAGACTCCTTCGATGTAGCCATCATGGTTCCCATTTCACAGATAATAAAGTTAAGGCTCAAGGAAAGGGGAAGTGACTTGTCTGTGGTCAGATAGACAGGAAGTGTTGGCCCTGAGTCCAGAACCCAGATCTGCACCCTTACCCTCAGTGGCTTCTCAGAATGTGTGCTGCTTGTTCCCTTACTGTCACTTCCTGCTTTCCCTTATCCCAGGAGCACAAGTGATGTATTCAGTGCTGCATGCCCATGGTTAAGACCCTTGACTAAGCTGATAGAGGGTGTGGCTACTGCCTTCCAAGTTAGCTGCCCATGGTTCATATCTTTCATTCACTCCTTACAACCTGTGCGATTCTAGGTAAGATGTCACCTCACCTCCTTGAGCCTCAACTTTCTTGTCAGCAAAATGGGATTAAAATGCCTTCTTGCTCTAAATAGCAAATGAAACAAGGCATATGAGGGGTCTGGAAAGGCTCTCCAATTAAACAGTAGGTACCCTCTCTAGGGTGGATTCTTCTCCTAATTCTCCTTCCCCCACCCTTTTTTTTTTTTTTTTAGTAAGTTCCACACTGGGTGAGGCTTGAACTCCTGGCCCTGAGATCAAGACATGAGCTGAGGTCAAGAGTTGGACACCCAATGACTGAGTCACCTGTGGGCCCCCTAATTCCCTTTCAAAACACCCCCTTCCAAAAGGATTTTCAAGCATTGACAGCTGATAGTAATTGAGAGCTTGCTATGTGGTAGGCATGTTTTATATAAATTGCATGTAATCCTCAAACATCACCATGAGGTCGAGATACCATCAATATCTTTACAGATGAGAAAACAGAGGCACAGAGAGGAAAAGTTGTTGTGTTCATGCCTTAGGGCTGCTGTAACCGAGTACTGTAAATTGGGTAGCTCAGGACAACAGAAATACTGTCTGACAGTTCTGGAGGCTAAAACTCTGAGATCAAGATGCCTGGCTCGATCTTCCAGGGTTCCTTCCAGGGGCGGTGAAGAACCTGTTCTGTGGCTCTTCCTTAGTTTATGGGATTGATGGCAATCTTTGGCAATCTTTGGCAATCTTTTGCTTGTAGAAGCACCACTCTGATTAGTGTTCATCTGCCTATGGCGTTCTGCCTGTGTGTGTGTCTGTGTCCAAGTTTCCTCTTTCAATAAAGACACCAGTCACATTGAATTAGGAGCCCATCCTACTCCAGCATGACCTCATCTTAATTAATTACATCTGCAATGACCCTATTCCTAAATCAAGCCACATTCTGAGATATGGAGAGTTAGGACTACAACATATGAATTTTGGAGGGTGGGGAGGGGACATTTAGTCCTTAACAGTTGTCTAGGCCAAGATCACACAGCTAATAAATAGTGGAACCACACTTCAAGTGCAGTCAGGCTGGCTCCACCATCTGTGCTCTTGACCATGCCGCTGATGTGAATGGCCCATCTGAATGTCCCGTAGACAGTTGAAGCAAAAAGTTCCCTGGGAAGAAGACATCACTTGAAAGCTGCATTGTGCTGCCTTGAAAGCTCTCTGGCTCCCCAAGACCAGCCCCCGTCCTGGTGGTGACTCAGAGGCAGCCTGGGAACACCGGGGGTGGCTTCTCCAACAACGCCACCCGAGCCTGAGAACAGTTCATTTGCTAAAGTAATTAAAAACAATCTGCGCTATTAAATTCCTCCTCTATTTTTCTGCTGTTCGCATTTCCCGGTGTGCCGAGTTAGATGTCTTCCCTAATCATTGCTGACATGTCAGCTCTACCCCCACCTTCCTCCCGAACTGCCATCCTTAGAGATGAAGGGGGCTCGAGACAGTTTGTTTTAATGTCAGGATCTACATCTCTCATAATTATATACACACACCCCATTTGCTGGGAATTCACTGCTCAAATAAGAAAGCCAGTTTGACAGCTCTGACACCCCAGCCCTCGCATCAGCTGCAGACAAGGGTGCATGCTAGGGGCACGGGTGCCACTCTCCTTGTGCTGGGAGTTCACTCTGAGCTGGCTTTTAGTGGCATCAACTGACAATCTCTGCTGAGTTGCAACTGCAGGAGTCAGTCCTCAACAGCCCAGACCATGCAAGGGAAGATCACCCGACCCACCCACACCATCTCTCCCATAACACATGCTTTACTGGAGAAGAAAAAATGACATACACACCGAGGAACATAGCTGGCTCAGTTGGTTGGGTGTCTGATTCTTGATTTTGACTCAGGTCATGATCTCGGGGTCATGGGTTCTAGTCCTGCATCAGACTTCAAGCTCAGTGGGGAGTCTGCTTGAGGATTCCTCTCCCTCTTCCCTGACCCTTCCCGTGCTCTCTCTCTCTCTCAAACAAATGAATAAATCTTTTTTTTTTTTAATGAAATGTGCATATAACAGAAGGTACTCTGGTTCTCTGTTGGTTGGAAGCATTTATTTTATTTTTTTTAATTTCTTTTCAGTGTACCAGAATTCATTGTTTATGTACCACACCCAGTTCTCCATGCAGTACGTGCCTTCCATAACATGGAAAGTGCCTGATAAGTGACTATTGTTGTCAGCTTTATCATTTTGTCACCATCATCATCATCACCATGGAATGATCCTATGGGCTGAGAACATTCTGGGAAGAACTTGCTGGCAGCCAAGATGGTGAGATCCAAGAAGGCCACTGTGGGAGTATATGACTTTGTGTCTCCTGCTATATTCTCTGCTGTGGTCCCTGTGCAAGGGAGGAGGGAAGAGGGTGCAGGAAGACCTGTCCAGACTTTCTGAGCTAATGAGGGAGAGCAGATGGGGCAAGGAACTCCAAGGATGGTTGTAATCAGAGTGTCTGGCTATAGGAGAGCAAGGTCATAGCCTTCTACAACATCAGGGCTCCCTACAAGTACTGTAGCATCTGGCAGAGTCGAATTTGAATCTTGGCCCTGCCTCTTCCCGGCTGTGGGACCTAAGCCACTGGCCTGTGTTGCTTAGTTTCCTCTACAAAATGGGAATGATGCCAACAGTATCTAACCCCCCAGGGTTGCTTTTGCAAGTTAAATAAGATTCTTAGTGAAAGTACTTAGCAGAGTGTCTAGCACATAGTCAGCACTCAAGAACTGAATTCTGTTATTAGTCCCCATCCCCACTCCCCACCGCCCCGCAATAGAAAACTCTTGGCCTCCAAATCCCAGACACAGTAGGAAGGCTAGAGATTTGTGCCTGCTGATCTATTTTAATTTATTTGGTTCTGCCTGTACCTCCTCCTCAGGGTACCTGCTTCTTTGGATGAAGATTTGAATTGTTACCTCCCAGAGCCAATAATACATCTCACCTCTCTGCAGACAAAGGTAAATATAATTAAAAAGTGATTATAATCTGGGACTACATTCATAAGCTTTGCTAGACCTAATTATACAGCAAGTGCAAGTCTCTAGGCATTGAATCCTTTCTGGATGGGATTTACTGACACCGTCAGTTGCGTGCTGGTGAGCAGGCGAGATCTGTGCCATGGGTGGCGGGGTTGGTGCCGCAAGAGGGGGCACTGACCCAGGTTGAGCCATGTCCAGACTTCAATGATGGCCCCTGAGTTTGTTCATCCAAGGAGTGTTTATTCACATCTTCCATCGATCAGGTCCTGCTCTCAGGTCTTATTAGGGGCAAGGGACTTCTCAGTAAAAACAGAGTGATAAATTTGTCAAAGAGTATTGGTTCACCATGAGGATATAAAGGTGGCAAATAAGCACATGAAAAGTTGCTCCACATCATTAGCTATCAGGGAAATGTTAAGTTAAAACCACAATGAGATATCACTACACACCTACCAGAACAACTAAAATAAAAAATGGTGATACCACCGAGCGCTGGCAAAGATACAGAGAAATTAGATCATTCATACGTTGCTGGTGGGAATAAAAAATGGGACAGCCGCTCCGGAAAAGAGTTTTGCAGTTCCTTATAAAACTAAGTAGGCAAATGTCATAAGATCTGGCAAATTGCACTCTTGGGGATTTGTCCCAGAGAAATGAAAATGTATGCCCACTGAAAAATCTGTACATGAATGTTTATAGCAGTTGCATTTGCAAGAACCCCAAGTGGAAACAATCCAGATGTCTCTCTGCGGGTGAGTGGTTGAATAAACGATGGTCTGCCCACATCCAGAATAGTACTAAGTCATAAAAAGAAAGAACTATCAATGGTCACAACTCGGAGGGGTCTGCGGGAAATCATGCTCAGTGGGGAAAAAAACGTCAACATCAAAAGGTTATTATCTGATTCCATTTATATAGCATCCTTGAAATGACAATAATGACAGAAACAGAGCACAAGTGAGTGGTTGCCGGGGTGAAGGAGGGGATGGGGGCAGGTGAGAAGCAGATGTGACCTAAAAAGGGCAACAAGAGGGGTCTTTGTGGTGATGGAAATGTTCTGTGTCTTGTGTCAATGTCAGTATCTGGGTTGTTATATTGCACTACAGTTTTGCAACATGTTACCATTGGGGGAACGGGATAAAGGATGTCTTATTTCTTACACCTGCATGTGAACCTACAGCTCTCTAAAATAAATACATAATAATAATAATTTTCTTTCAAAAAAGAACATTGGCTCCCTATTTAAAACTTTCCAAAGCTTTCTATTGACTTTGTGATGAAATCCAAACTCTCGTCGTCTTGGCCTTCAGGCCCTGCTGACTGCCCAAATCATCCCATGATGCCCCATTCTTCAGACCCTAGCCACCCTAGCAGCTTTCATTTTATTTCTCACCCTTTTCAAGCCTTCCTCTATGGCATTCCCCACTCCATAGTATGTTTTCTCCCTCACTTTTCTCTCTGTTGGCGCCTTTTCATCATTTCCGTTTCAGCTTAAATGCCACCTCCTCATGGAGGCCTTGCTTAATTTCCTCCAGAACAATCCCCTCCATTGATCTTGCTCACTGTCCACTTTGCTTTTTTTGTAGCTCTTAACACAATTTATAATTATTAGTGTATTGCCTGGTTTGCTTATTTATTCCTTTAGTCTGCTCTGCTATGCTATTGCCTCTTAAGGGAAGGGACAACCTCAACCCCGCTAACTAGCACTTCCCGAGAGTCAACTGAGTGGCTGGTACATGGTAGACTCCAGAAATATTTGCAAGCAGAAGGAGGGGAAGAAGGGAGACCAGCAGGAAAGGAGGGAGAAAGGGAGAGAGAATGAGAGGCAAGGAGAAAAGGAGGAAAATGGGATTGGTGGGAAGGAAGAATGGTTTGGGGGGATGTCAAGAGGTGACATCAACAGGACTTTTACTGTGGGTGATGACACCTGGCTTTGACTTTGACTTTGATGACGCCTGGTTTTGA